ATCTCAGAGACCTACTCTCCTCCCTCTGCACAGGAGAGGTTGTATCTATGTGCGGATGCAAAGATTAAAATCTCCCGCTACAATCAAACCACCTTTTTTGAAATCCATTAGTTTTTTCAAGACATTTTTTAAGAATATCTCCGGATTCTTATTTGGGCAATAAATATTTGCTACTGTACAATCTATTTCCTGTAATTACTGAAATCTTCCTTCAGGATCTACCATTCTGTCCTCCAACTCAAACATTATGTTTTTTCGCGAATCCTATTGCCACCCCCTTTGCTCTCCTAATTGGGGAATCTGCATAGAACCACACTGGATAGTATCTAGAATTTAATTTCACATTTGTTTCTCTCACCAAATGTGTCTCCTGCAAGAATACCACTGAAGATGATCTATGCTGAAGCTCCTTAAATAACCTGAATCTCTTCCCGGAGCTATTTAATCCATTAACATTGTAAGTTACAAACTGTATCTCTTCCATTCTTTCCTTTTTCTCTCCTCTCCTCTGTCCCCTCTCTCCTCCTCTCTTACTAATGTGTATCCCACCATATCACAGAGTCTTAACCTAACTACCCTCTCCCCATACCCTCCCTCCCTCCCCCCCACCTCCCCTCCTCTCACCCCTTCCACCTTTCCACCCCCCATTCCCTCCCCAGTACCCCCCCCCCCTCTTTTAGGCTAGTATTTTGCCTACGAATCATTTGTGGGCCTAATCCCCTTTTGATTCAGACCTTGAGGTAAAGCCCTACCCATGTACGACTTACCAGCCCCCCATCTTCCTCAGTGTCCTCCCTCCATTATCTAATCCAATAAGTTTCTTGCAAACCATCCTACTGGGAGGCTGGGGGGAGAGGGATAGAAGAAAAAAAAAAAAAGACACCCCTCTACGCCTCCCCTCCCACTCCCACCCTCTACTCTACTCTACATTTCTCCTTCTAACTAGCTGCCATTCATCTTTTTCAGTAGCCCATATCTCTCCTTCTTCTTCTCCCCACCCAGGTATCTCCATTCTCTGCAGTTCAAGTCTCTCACAAAAGTCTCTCACATCTTCAGGAAATCTCAAACTTGCTGTAACTTCATTTTTCCATCCGATTAGACATGCCTGGAAGCCCCATCTATATTGCACTTTTTGCTTCTTCATCTGCTCTATTAAGGGTTTCAGAGATCTCCTTCTTGTCAGCGTCCCAGCTGCTAAATCTGCAAAAAAATTGGATATTTATTTCTCCATATTTAATACTTGTTCTTCCTTTGATCTTCTTCCATATCTCTTCTTTATCACCATAATTATGGAATTGCACTATTATATCTCTCGGTTTTTTACTTTACCCCTTTCTTGTTGAAACTTTCCTATTCTATAAACACCATCTACTTTAAGAGTCTCTGATGCAGATCTGTCCATTATGGTATTCAGCATTTTACATACTATTCCCCTTAGGTCTTCCCCTTGTGAAGTCTCTGGTACTCCTCGTATCCTTAAATTTACGTCTCTTATCCCTGTTTTCTTGATCCTCCATCTCATAGAGCAGCCTTCTTTGTTCTTTTCTTATTTTCTATTGTCCGTTTTTCTAAATTCAGGATAATTTGGGCATGTTTTTTACTTTTTCCTCTGTCTCTTCCACTCTAGATAACATTTTGCCCCAATCTTTCTGTATTATCGCCATCTCTTGTTTAATGATTTTTCTAGATTTTTAAACATTTCTCCCATTTCTTTTTTATTTGGCATTTGCAGTTCCTTTCTTGTTCTCCCACCTCTGTTCTTCCTATCGTTTGCTGACTGCTGTTAACCATTCCCAGGGAAAATCTAGGGCTGTTTTCCATGTTGATTTCCATCTCACTCCTTTCACCTACTCCTTGAGATCTGGGGTGACATTCCCCTGTGAGGTATATTTTTTAATCGTACCTGTTTGGGATCCCTTGGGCCCCCTGTGAGGTATATTTTTTAATCGTACCTGTTTGGGATCCCTTGGGCCCGCTTCCTTTAACAGTTTTATTTTTCATACCGTCAGTGCAGCTTTGATCCCTTATCCAAGAGCTGGGAAGGGTTTAGTTATTTTATTGTCCTGTTAGCCTTTTTAATTCCCCCTTTTGCAAATAGAAAATTTTTCTCTTCTGGGACCTGTGACCCCACACTTTATCTCCTACTTCTTCAGACCCCCTGGGAATCTCCCCCTTTAATTCACTTTCTGCTTTGAGCAACCATCCATCAGGGTACATTAAGCCCAGCCGCTCTCACTCACCTTCCCCTCGTCTCCTCCCTTTTGTGAGGTGGCTTCAGGCTTTTTCTTCAGGGACTTTGCTTCCCCGTGCTGTGTCCGCTCTTTTGGGGGATTCCTCACTCGGGGTCCACTTCTGTGTCCCGTGCACCCGTATCCACAGGGAATTGCCGGCGTCTCTCTCTCCCTGTGAGACACTGGCTGGTTTCTCATCCTTCCAGGTCACCTTTGCGTCTGGTCACATGGCCGTCTCCGTGTCCCTTCCGACTCCAGGCAACCCGACACTCCCTCCAGGGACCTCAGCCGTCTCGCTGCGGCTTAACCACTGGAAGCTTTGCCTCTTCTTTACCCCGCTTGGGCTACTACTCCTCCGCCGAGACCCCCCTTCTCCCTGGTCGGTCTCTAGAGGGCATCTTGACAGCATTGTGAGGGCACTGACAACAGGGTAGGAGGCTGGCTGTCGGAGAGTGCTTACCCTGCACTCTCACTCGCCGCCATGTTCAGGCTCCTCCCTCTTCTGTTGGTTGCTTCCCATCATTGGTGTATTCTCAACTTTATAATCTCTCCTAGGCGAATCCTGATGCTCCTCCCATTTCCTCCTTGCCAGCTATGTCCCAATATATTGCAGAGACGGCGTTACCTGTTCTAGACGCCCAAGATGCATTGGATCTAGAGGAGGCCTTCTCAATTATAGAAGTTCTTGGGGCAATTAAGGCCCTGAAAACTGGTAAGTACCAGGGTCTGGACAGATTCACCCAGCGATTTTACAAAACATTCGCCGCCCAACTGTCCCCACTTCTGGCCCAAGCTTTTAACCTCCCTGGAGGTATTCCCTACTGTAGCTTGGAGTTAAGTTTCAGTACCAAAGCGGTAACCCCGAGCTACACACGGGAATACCCTGCAGAGCTTCTCCAGCGATCCCTCGAGCACTTACGCTGTCCTGCGCTCCCACAATGTCCCCCCTGCAGCGGCCCCCGGGCATGTCCTGCGGCCGATGCTGGCATCTGTCTTCCGGGTTCCATTCCCTGCGACCTCGGGACGTACGAGGGACGGAATTAACGGGATATTCAAAAATGTAAAAATGTGACATTCACTCAATACACTAAAATCTGATAGTATTCCATTACTGTATCAAACCATTTCACATACATTTTGTCCTTAGTGCTTTGACCGGGACACCCTGCATGCATTTTACCGTTCTTTCTGCCTGGAAACTGAGAAACGTCCATGGTGTCCAAAAAGTGTCCCTTTATATCAAAAGCGGTTTTAGACCAGCTAGAGAACAGTGATAGTAAATCAGAACCACTTGCAGAATTAGGCGATAATGATTTGTGGGGGAAATTCATCATCAGACACTGAAAACGATTCTGCGACTGAGCTCAGCGATGTGCGAACTTGGCACTATATTTCAAATTTCAGTGTTTTTGGTTTGATTACATTATTGAATTAAATTTATTATATTATTATTTTTTATGATTATTTATTATATTATAATTTATGATTTTGTGTTTCAAGTTTTATTATATCCAGGATGTTTACTAGACTCTTGTTCAGACAGATTTCAGGGAGTTATTCCTAAGAATTACAGGCCTACAATAAAAAAACAACATATTTTCATGCAAAAAAATTTACCGCTTTGAGCACAGAAATACTGACATAATCAGACCACTAGGGAGGTTAATGTTATCGATGATCTGAATGTGCCTTCATCAGCTTTTTTGTCCACCACTATTTTGGTTATCCCTAAGACGGATAAAGACCATTCTCTTTGCGGTAGTTATCACTCAATTCCTCTACTTAATCTGGACGTTAAGCTTTTTGCTAAACTTCCAGTGAACAGCCTTTCCCTTTTTCTACCAACCTTGATCCACCACGATCAGGTTGGCTTTGTCCTGGGTCGTGAAGCTAGGGATAATATTTCTAAAACAACTCTGTCAGGGCTCCGGTATGACCAGAGGTGTGTGGCCCGACACACAGGGAAACACAGACTTCAGTATAGCGTATAAAACAATATAATTTATTAAGGCAACACAGACATAAATGCAGTGCAACAAACCAACCCCAAAACTAACACAAATACGTACAACAAGGTGCAACAAACCCAAACCTTAACTGATATATATATATATATATATATATATATATATATAATATATATAAATATATATATAAATATGGAGCACAACGTAGTCAGGCTGGCCGGGTCGGTAGCAATTGGGCAGACAAGGTACAAGGAGTAGGCAGAAGATTGGTCAGGAGTAGCCAAGGTCGGTGCAGGCAGTGTTCAAGCAGAGTCAGGATCAAGCAGAGTCAGGATCAGGCAGGAAGCAGACAGGATGCAGGTACAGGGGCTCATGGTAACAATACACCAAGGCCCTGACTGCAGGCCTGGCCATTCCTTAAATACACCTCCTGCAATCAGCCTCAGGTGATGGCTTGATTGCAGGAGTGAGCTTCTGGCTGCCGAGAGCACCCGCTGGCCAGCCCTGGTAGTGCAGCCCACAAGGCAGGTGCGTCCCACCACCATTGGCGAGTCCATTCCTGACAGATCCAGGAGCAGAGGGCAGAGGCACATCAGGCTGGGCAGCAAGCAGAGGCACATCAGGTGGGGCAATGGGCACCGGGCCATCAGGTGGAGCAGCGGGCACCGGGCCAACAGGCGGAGCAGTGGGCACAGGGCCATCAGGCGGAGCAGCGGGCACCAGGCCATCAGGTGGAGCAGCGGGAACCAAGGCATCAAGCTCGACAGCAGGCACCAAGTCATCTGACACGACAGCGGGCACCGGGTTATCTGGCACGACAGCGGGCACCGGGTCATCTGGCAGAATAGCGGGCACAGAGTCATCTGGCAGAATAGCGGGCACCGGGTCACTAAGCTTGACAGCGGGCACCGAGTCATCTGGCAAGACAGTGGGCACCGAGTCATCTGGCAGGACAGTGGGCACCGGTCACCAAGCTCGACAACGGGCACCGGGTCATCTGACACGACAGTGGGCACCGGGTCATCTGGCACGTCAGTGGGCACCGGGTCATCTGGCAGAACAGCGGGCACCGGGTCACCAAGCTCGACAGCGGGCACCGAGTCATCTGGCAAGACAGCGGGCACAGAGTCATCTGGCAAGACAGCGGGCACCAAGTCACCAATCTCGACAGCGGGCACCGAGTCATCTGGAAAGACAGCAGGCACCGAGTCATCTGGCAAGACAGCGGGCACCGAGTCACCAAGCTCGACAGCGGGCACCGAGTCACCTGGCACGACAGCGGGCAATGAGTCATCTGGCACGACAGCGGGCACCGAGTCATCTGGCACAACAGCGGGCACCGAGTCATCTGGCACGACAGCGGTCGTCAGGCTGGACCGCGGGCACCGGGTCATCAGGCTGGATCGGGTCATCAGGCTGGATCGGGTCATCAGGCAGGATCGGGTCATCAGGTTGGATCGGGTCATCAGGCTGGATCGGATCATCAGGCTGGATCGGGTCATCAGGCTGGATCGGATCATCAGGCTGGATCGGGTCATCTGGTTGGATCGGGTCATCAAGCTGGATCGGGTCATCTGGTTGGTTCGGGTCATCAGGCTGGATTGGATCATCAGGCTGGATCGGGTCATCAGGCTGAATCGGATCATCAGGCTGGATCGGGTCATCATTGGATCATCAGGCTGGATCGGGTCATCAGGCTGGATCAGGTCATCAGGCCGGGTCGGATCATCAGGCTGGGTAGGATCATCAGGCTGGGTAGTGTATACTGGGTCATCAGGCATCCGAGCATCAGGCTGAACAGCGGGCACCGTGGCACCAGGCTGGACAACGGACCGCAGGCTGACTGGTTTGGATACTGACAGGATGGTACTGGTTGGAAAGAATTTTTGCTTCTTCTTGGTTTTAGTTACTGGAGCACTGTAAACAAACGCAGGTCTGTAAATGGAGGGAGCAGCTTCTACAGATGACTTCTTTACAGGGTTAAAGGCAGGATAGGTGCAGTGAGTGGGAACAGGGGACTGACATGTGGTAGATAGCAGGGTATACTGGGCTGTCACTGGGGGTGATATGGGAAATGGAGAAGAGAGCTTTGAGCAGAGCAATGATTAGAAGCAGGACAGGGTTGTTGCAAGCTGACTGAGGCTGGGTGTAACAAATCTGACCATGTCTGTAGTACTGGTTGAACAAAGCTCAGCTTACACAAAGCCTGTCTGACCAAAGACTGCACTGCGTTTATACAATCCACTAGCACCTGTTGTGAACATGCTGAATAATGCTTCAAGAAGTAATCCGGATCATCCTCCAATAACCATACCAGTGACTCTACTTGGTCTGCACTAAACGGCGGCAAAAAGTCATCCCTGCTTTAAGGGGTGCTAGATGAAGCCAACTCCGCACAAGCCTGAATCAATGGTTGCACCTCAGAGAACTCCGTGCCCTGATCTACTAGGAAATGAGCGATCTGTATGCATTCTAGCAGCTGATCCCTGGCATAATCCTTCAGAGTCTGATAGGCATAATCTCTGTCATCTAAGACTAGCAGAGACAAACACACAACCTCCTCAGGATGCATCCTTCACAACAACAAGCCAAGATGGCTTCCCTGTGCAGCCACTTCTGGTCAGGACTGGCCTTGGTGTAATGTCAGGGCTCCGGGTATGACCAGAGGTGTGTGGCCCGACACAGGGAAACACAGACTTCAGGTATAGCGTGTAAAACAATATAATTTATTAAGGCAACACAGACATAAACGCAGTGCAACAAACCAACCCCAAAACTAACACAAATATGTACAACAAGGTGCAACAAACCCAAACCTTAACTGATATATATATATATATATATATATATATATATATAAAATATGGAGCACAACATAGTCAGGCTGGCCGGGTCGGTAGCAAACGGGCAGACAAGGTACAAGGTGTAGGCAGAAGATTGGTCAGGAGTAGCCGAGGTCGGTGCAGGCAGAGTTTAAGCAGAGTCAGGATCAAGCAGAGTCAGGATCAGGCAGGAAGCAGACAGGATGCAGGTACAGGGGCTCATGGTAACAATACACCAAGGCCCTGACTGCAGGCCTGGCCATTCCTTAAATACACCTCCTGCAATCAGCCTCAGGTGATGGCTTGATTGCAGGAGTGAGCTTCTGGCTGCCGAGAGCACCCGCTGGCCAGCCCTGGTAGTGCAGCCCACAAGGCAGGTGAGTCCCACCACCATTGGCGAGTCCATTCCTGACAGATCCATCTTATCTTTTAAATTAAATAACACGGCTTAAAGGCTTGCCTACTCTCATTTGACGCCGAGAAGGCGTTCGAAACGTGTTGACTGGCATTTTCTCAATCTTACCTTGGAACAGATAGGTTTGGGTTCGCAGTTCCTCGCACAGATTATGTCCCTCTACTGTCATTCTTTGGAGTCTGTCCTGGTGAATAGTACAGTTTCTTCTCCCTTCCCCATATCGAATGGGACCAGACAAGCTTGCTTGCTTTAAAACTTACCTTTTCATGGAGCTCATGGAAAGATCAGTTAACCCCGTATAGGTTGCAAGCCAACGATCCCCGCAGGATGGATTGGATCTGCAGATTGGGAAAGATAATGGATCGGACTCCGATCCATTATACTCAATCCGCAAATCCAATCCATCCTGCGGTGATCGTCGGAGGGGGTGTCACCAAGTGTTCCGGCATCGGGTGACACCAACTCTAGGGATGCCCCTGTGCTACATCATGGGGGACATCAAGGGGGGGTCTCATATTTGTAGGCAGATACTAACTACTCTGTAGACATTCTGAGAAGGACATTGTCTTTTAACTTTAATCTATTATGTGAATATGTTTTGAAACTTCTGTAATAATACATTTGTGTGATTCTAGCAATACTACAGACTGTGTAGCACCTTTAAAGTCCATTAAAAAATATTTTCAATGATCAAAGATAGGCTTTAAGTGTATTTGCTGCTACATAAAGTGATTCAGAATGTATTGTATCTTTGAAAAATGAAATAGACCATCATGAAAGACTATACTGCAATTTATAGTAATGGAGTGTATTTATGAGTTTTATTTTATTTTATTCAGCTATTTACCTGGTTTTCATATTATCCGTATTGTAAGCCCTATTTTAGCTAATATTTTTAAAAATCTGGTATTTTCAACTTTTTCAGTTCTACTGTGGTAGAACTGATATGTTTGCTATTTCTTATTAAAATGCTGTCTCTTTATTATCGTTTCCTAGGGAGTAAATTGAAACAAATGATCTTATTTATTTCATTAAGGGAAGTTTATGTTACTAGCGATAGCAGGACACATGAATTAGAAGAAATGCTATGAAGACACAACAATAAATAACGATACTGTCCATTCTGGAAAACTTTCATGACCTGTTAGGGTCATAAATGAATCATTTAGTTTAATGTCATGATCCAATCCCCCATCATCCATATAGAATTCTATACAATTTGTCCATCTCATCAGGGAATTTATTATTTCGTGTTAGAGGTCACAAAATATATTAAACATGCAAACACTGTAGACCATCTGTCTGAAAGGTAAATTTCCGTATTCTAAATAGGTAATTTATCTCATATGATAATGTGATATTTTCTGATATGTTACGCTATTGCCTAAAAGGATGTCTAATAAATTTAGGCAACAAATATTTTTAAAGAATTTCTATCGCAGAAAAATAGTAATGTTGAATTTACAAATATAAAAATAAAGTTGTACTGATGTTTGAAAGTAATAAATATGGATAAAAATCCTGTTCTTCTATTATTTAGATTGCCCCATTTAGCAATTATATCACCAAGAAGTTATAATTCGATATGCAGCAGCATGTGTAGGATTTTTAACCACTGAAGAGGAAAGCAGTTGCCCCAGGTCTAACGGGTTGATTTATAAAAGTGTGAAAAGCTGTTCACTTTCCAAGGACATTTTCACCAATTTCTAGCTTAGTGAATGAGGAGAAGCTTTGCTGACTTCCATTATCCAATCATAAGCAAGCAAAAACACTGTTTTTTATTTTCCTTGCTCGTGACTGGGTATTTTTTGCCAAGTATATTTTCTCAACATCTGTTATGAGAATATTCCTTTGCAAAGTAAACAGCCTATTTGCTTTTAGTAAATCAACCCCTATGACTCCAAAAGGTCTACCAGACCTTTGGCACCAAATCAATTAGATATGAGATTGGGACACAAAACTAGTTTGGACTTTGTATGCTTTCTGTATTGTCAAAGATAGGGGTCCTCAAACTTTTTAAACAGGAGACCAGTTCACTGTCCCTCAGACTGTTGGGGGCTGGACTATAGTTTGAAAAAAAAATATGAATGAATTCCTATGCACACCCACATATCTTATTTGTACTGCAAATAAACAGGAAAAAAATATATAATATTTAAAATGAAGAACAATTTTAATCAGCATTGTTAATTGAGATAAAGTATGATGTTTCAGAATGAAACATAAGAAGTATCAAAATGCTTTGTGAACATTTAGCTCGTCCAACCAACATAACGGCCAGTATACTGCGGACAGGATACAGGAGATGGTCAGGAACTGCGGACATACTACAGGAGAAGGTCAGAAACTGCAGACATGATACAGGATATGGTCAGAGACTGCGGACATGATACAGGAGACAGTCAGAGACTGCGGACAGGATACAGGAGACGGTCAGAGACTGTGGACAGGATACAGAAGACGGTCAGAGAATGCAGACAGGATACAGAAGATGGTCAGTATACTGCGGACAAGATACAGGAGATGGTCAGTATACTGCAGACAGGATAGAAGAGATGGTCAGAGACCATGGACAGGATACAGGAGACAGTCAGAGACTGCGGACAGGATACAGAAGACGGTCAGTATACTGCAGACAGAATACAGGAGATGGTCAGTATACAGCAGACAGGATAGAGGAGATGGTCAGAGACTGCGAACAAGATACATGAGCCGGTCAGAGACTGCCAAACATGATACAAGAGACGGTCAGTATACTGGGAACAGGGTACAGGAGATGGTCAGTATACTGCGGACAGGATACAGGAGATGATCAGAGACTATGGACAGGATACAGGAGATGGTATGAGACTGTGGACAGGATGCAGGAAACAGTCAGAGACTGTGAACAGGATGCAGGAGATGGTCAGTATACTGCAGAAGTAATGAAGGAGCTAAAAAAAATACCTCTGTCAGTTTGGTTTGTGAGACAGGTTGAAATATATGGGAAAACCTCTGATTTCACTGCGGACCTGCCCCTGCAGCCGTGCTTAACCTGCCCCCTTGACCGAGCACAGCCAAGATCACAGCCTTGGCCGAGTGCAGCCAAGACCACCCATGCACAGTTGAGCCCGCCCCTCGCTCAAACACAGCTGAACCCATCCACCCTGCCCAAGCACAGCAGAACTCGCTCTCTGCCTGAGTACACTTGAGTCCACTCCCTGCCAGAGCACAGCCAAGACCACCCCCCCCCCCCCCCCGATACAGTCCACCTCTGGCAGGAGACATTGACCTCCTATAGCCACATCACTGGTCCCTTCTGCCTGGGGGGCAGTGCCGCCCCCCTGAAAAATGCTGCCCAAGGCAAACGCCTTGTTTACCTCATGGTAGCTATGCCCCTGCGCCTCGTTTTTGGCTCTGAATGATGGGAAGGCCGGGTAAATTACTTTGGCGGGCCGTATCTAGCCCATGGACCATAGTTTGAGGACCACTGGTCAAAGTGAACTAGTTGGTGCTGTATATGTGTGGAAATTTTCTAGGGAAGATTTGCTGTCAATTCAGAATGTCAATGTCACTCATTAGACAGTCTTGAGGAACTATAAAACGCAACTGATAAAGGTACATAAAGAAGAAACAATTTTGAAATTA